TCCAGAGGTTGCCCTGAGGTTAACTTTAACAAAAACTTTGGTTTGAAATGGGGATAGCGTTGATTGACAGAAATGTTCTATTCAATTTTCAATTCATTTCAGAACATGGCAAAAGTCTACTGGTGCATTATTGGTACAGTGGATGCCAATAGTAGAATTTATTTTCACAAAAACTCATGTACAGTAAATGGAAAATGAAACAAGTCCATTAATAACAATTTAAACAAAAGGCAATTCAGAAGTCACAAAAAAACGCTTTGACTAAATTGGAGGAACAAAATTCAAAGTGAGGTAAATTTAGATGCTGAGAAATTTGAATATACATGTAAGCCTTTCAATAATTACAATGAAATATACATGTACATGTAGTTGTGTAGAATACACATGTACACATTTTGGGTGTTTTAGTTTTGGTGGTCTTAGGTGTTTTTAGTTTTAGTGGTTTAAACACATCGCTGGATATGCAACAGAGGTGGATTTGAACCTGGCAAAGCACCAAACTCCTTTGGCTAGACATAAAGTTACATTTGCCACTCTTCACCCGGGTGCGGCCATTGGGTGCCTGATACAATTAATTAAGTAAATTTTGCCAGGGCAAAACCCAAAGTAATCATCCAAAAGGCACTTTGGAAGTGAGGGAACACATTTAAATGTATATCACTTGTTCTTTGCATCGTGAAAAGGTACTTCTTATGAGTTGGTAGGGAAAAATTCTAAAATGGTATTATACATTATAAATTGATCTCTGCAATATTGTATCATTGGTTGCCAGGCAAATGGGCTAGTGGGTTTGCAGTAGCCTGGCAACCATTTGACATCCTCTTTCATTTCTTCCAATCTTGATTGTAGAAAATCTACAGTAGAGTGTATCAGTCAAATATCATTCAAAATCTGTCATTCTAGACCTGGGGGTGTTTCAGAAAGATCCTAAGTTGAACTTATCTCCGAGTTGGACTTAACAATTATGGAAAGCCATTAGCATCCTTGAAAATATTTTGTAAAAGTTATTTTAAAAGGCGTAAAATGTTGATTCAAATCATTCATATTTTCTATTATCATGAGAGATTTCATGTTCTTGATGTGGAATTTATGAAAAGTCTAAAATACTTGAATTTTTGCTTTTGAATATATTGAATATATTTCAAAATAAGGCTATAAATGGCTCTCCATAATATTTAAGTCCAACTTAGAGTTAAGTTTAACTTCAAATCTTTGTGAAACACCCCCCAGGATTGGGGTCTGATAGGGGAGATTACTCTGTCTCCTAAGTGCTGCACATCTTCATCAAGTCCAGGCCAATTATTCCAGAGTGTTTGTGTAGAATAGATTGTTCCATTTCTTCTGTTACTCTAATGGACTATTGTTAGCTGTGAATCAAGACCCTTTTCTTCCTCCAGTTTTTATTTATGGAAAGTGTTTGTGTAATATTTTTCAACTGCTTTATAACATGAAGTCGTTGTCTAAAAAACATTCTGCAACAAAAAAAGTAATACAGAGTTTATCTTTGTTGTGGATGAGCTTTCCTTTGTTTAATTTTTTATCAACAAATATTTCTTTTATGAAAGTTATATATTTATTGCACATGTATAGAGATGAGTGACAAACTGACAATATTAAACAGTTACAGTTGTGATCAAACCACATGTATTTGCTTGTGTACATGCACATCAAATCGAGTATGGGCAGATAATTAGGTAATGCATTATGCATCTGAAATGAACTTTGGAAGGTGACTATGCAAAATGATATGTACTGTATAGAACAGTAAAACAGTTTTTTGATCTACGTATTAGCGCCATCGGTCGTACAAAAACGATGCATAATATCTAGTGCATGCTCTTCGAGTCCTATTACTTAATACACACAGAGAGATCGACCTCAAATCAAGACTACTTTTTTTGCACAGTAGTAGTTGGAGCATGTGCGGGCATGAGACTGAGTCAAGTGTAATCTGACCATGCTTATTTTGCCTGTCCCATTAGTACAAATTGGTAGGTGTGAGGCGACTTGAGGCATTACGCAGGTTTTACAGGAACTAGAACGAGCCTTAGTTCGTATGTAGGCTTAGCCAAACACAAAATATTCAGTCGGTTGAGGATATGAGAGAGCTGCACTTGAAAGTGAGAAGATGTGCTGTGTCATTAAGTCATTTTAATGCCTTTATCCTTGATGGTGCTGGTGCCATTATGATTCTGGGGTTAATTGTCCAACCATTTCTAATGGGCATTCATGTCCATTTCATCCTAATGAGACACAAATCAAAATAACCATTTAAGCGCAGTACTTAATTAATGATGCACACTATGTAGGCCTACATGTATCATTAATTTGTTGAGTGCACTCTTGTTAATTGCATACTGTAGGGAAATACATGCCATAGAGATATGTGGGATACATCATACAGAATCTGCTCCCCAAATATGTTCCTTTTTATGAATATCGGTTAAAGGTAAAACAAAGTTTTGGTAAGGGGTCATTAATTTGGTTCAAATGAACATATTGGAAGCGTACATGTATGTGATTTTACAATATTCAATGATCGTTGTCGCGGTTGAAATCAAGTCTAAAGTGATGAAATCGTAAATAAATAACTCTTTATGTTGTAAAGCGCACTCTCAAAACTGATATTACTTTAGCTTTAAAAAAATGTTTCTTGACTACCAATCAAACCAATTTGCTTTTCCCGTTTGGAAATTATATCAGAACTGCATATATATATATATTCTGAGATTTTCATGGTCGCAGCTACATTTGTACCATGGGATGGCCTTGGGCGCTATTTGAAACATTTGAAACTTACCAGGAGCACCAGTAAATTGGTGATTATCCAATTACTCGAAAGCAGAAGTGTTTTACGGGCCTAATTTTCTAGTGCTTATAATACATCCACAGGGTCATCCAAGTATATCAAAATTGTAAAGAATTACTCTCCTTCCAATTTTCAATATTTCCCAAAACTTTGCAATTACCTTTAAAGGTACTATATCCCTCTTGCAGCCTACCTCAAATTCTGTAGAACTTTGCAGGAATTATGAATTTGTCATGTATGTCCTATCTGTGAAATTAAAACATTAGCAGTGTCCTAATATTCAAATTATGCACGGAAACCCGTTTACTTGCTAGACTTCACTGTCAGACACTATTGAGTGAGTGACTGGCTTTTTTCTTCTTTGGTAATAACATACATAACATGAGCTGTAAAGGGTACATGAGCATTTGTCTACATCAATAACCCACTTCTTGTGATGGCCAAAATTAAACTGATTGAATCCTTGCGCAGCATAAAACGTATGACCATTCGGTACAGGTCCGAAAATCAAGACTATTACTTATTGGCTCTATAGCTCCTAAGTCGATTTGACAACTAACAGTCGTTATTTTCCCACTTGCAGACATTTTCAAGCCCCACCATTTTTAGGGAAGTTCTAAATTAGTATTACCTTTCAAATGCCGGTGGAATTTAACCTTTTCATTTTTTGGGCCTGCAAATGGGACATAGTATCTTTTTTTTTTTCTCAAGTAGTGGTTCAAATTTGCAAAAGACCATTCAGTGAAGCAATCTCAGTTTAGGAAATTTGAAATAAAAAAAACTACAAAATGATGTGGTGTCCCCTTTTTTTATCTGAGGTGCCATAGATCTTGAAGTGATTGTAGAGCTGTGTTGATTATGTTGTTTGCCCTGGAGCCTGCTTGCAGCAGCTAGAGCATCCTTCCTTCCTTCGTTCTAAGAAGCTGAGCAAGAGACATGGTCCTTTCAGGCTTTATAAATTGGCCCGCACCTCACCGTGGCTCATTTCACGCCATCGACAGCTCCCAAACATCGCTAAGATCACGTTTGCCCACCCACACACACCTGTATACAACCCTGAATGGCGGAGCTATTGATTCGCCCCATGCGCTTGTAATTTGATTTTAGACTGGGGGGTTTGCTCCATCTACAAGTTCAGGGTGTACAAGCCAAAGCACTTTAATGCTTACGTCACAGCCACCACTCACCCCCCCCCCCCAACAACAACAACCACCATCATCACCACCATTTTAACTCAAGACCATTTCTACAGTATAGGTTTGGTTCTCCTTCGTTTTTTAAAGTGTCTATTTTTTCATCTTTATTTTCAAAGACTCGTAAAAGTAAAACTTTTTGAATCTTTAATGATAATTTTCTTGAATTAGATTAAACAGTCTACCAGCAGAAACATGTACCTTAAATTTGGGATAGCATACCAGAATCAAAGATGTGAGGAATAATAATTCATTTTCAGTCAGATTGACTTTTACATTGTGATAATTCAGTAACATATTCTGTAGGCAAAACCATGCTGTATAGGACTTACATGTATTTGGACAATATCCATGAACATATGACATTCAGATGATTTTGAGGGCAAATATTAGTATTTTTGACATATGAAAACACTTTATTTTGGGCTGATTCTTCTTATTCAGAAAACAAGGAAATGGAATTCCAAGCCACTAAATTTTGATTTAAGATATATTCTCATATTTTTAAATATTGCCATATGGACATCATCACTTCCTTGTTTCCTTTTGTCTGCTATTAATTTTCCCTTTTAGTTTTGATTCAAGTAGAAATTCTATTGAAGTGACCATTTATCAAGGCAAGTAGAGCAATAGAAACTGCTGCTATGTCTTTCGAGCTGAGTATTAGCTGTTCTCCAAGTCTTATATTATTAAAAAACATTATCAGTGTATTAAAACTGCTCCTTAAATTGCTGGAGGCTGTGTAATCCAGACAAATCTAGTATTATCAGAAAGGCTAAAGCATGCCTCAAGAAATGAATGAAGCCCAATTTTTTTGTTGAAAGAACATGGAAGTACTGTATGTACAAGATTGACTGAAGAAATGTTAATGATATAGTATGAAATGGTCACTTGAATAGTTGGCATAATATTGAAATTGCAAGGTATTTTCAGCCTTAATGTTAACGGGAAAGTCCAATCTTAGTTGGCCCAGTTGGGGGGGGGGGGGAATCTTGCAGCTGGTTTGATGTCATTATGACTTGCAGCTGATCTGGCAATACTTTTGACCGCACAATTCATACTATTCATTAAACATACCATGTGTGCCCTCAGTCATGAAGTTTTAATTCTTGAATTATTTCCCTTTTCCTGTCGCGCAAATTCTTTCAAAACTCCAGTCGGGTTGAAAGATATTTGGCAAATTTAATTCTGGAGGTTTATTGATGAGGAAAATAATATCTATAGAGGTTTTGTACACTGTACACATCAGACCGCAATGTATGACAATAATTGTAGGACAGCGCCAGTTACGCTTGATCTGTGAAGTCAGACCTTTTTCTTCTCAAGCTGTACATACTCCACATGGTATGTTCAAAAAGAATTGGACAGTTTGGGTATTTATTTTAAACAAATACCAAATAAATACAAGGAGTTTAAAGCTCCTTCGTAAATGATACTACTCCAATTGCAAAGAAAAGCAGGCTTGTGAGATTTCTATCTTCTATCAAAAATGTATAACAATGAATCTTTAACTCAAGACTAGACCATTGATGATGTGGTCGCTTCTTGTGATGGTTTCGCTTTCCTTTTCATTCTAATTTATAATAACCAATGAGCTAAGATTATTCCAGTGATGACACAGTCACATTAGTCAATGTTGTAGGTTTCCGTCAGCCCAAGCAACTTTATATCAGTACCCTAAACACTGTCGTTGTTTGCTGTTTGTTGTTTGGTAGTCTCCTAGGATTCCATGAGCATTGTTTTTGGTATAAACTAAAGAGCAGCTGTAAATTTTGCACTACCTGCATGAAATCTTGTCCATTGCGACGGAATAATCTGACAGGAGCCCAGTGTCGTGGCTTGAAAGGATCTGTGATTTGTGCGAAATTCAGTGAAAGTTGTTATTGTATTCAGATATCTTTGTAGACGCAGCTAGGATGAAATCTGGTAGCCATCGAGAAAAAAGGTAGAACAAGTGAAAGCAATGACATTAGGCTGTTGAAAAATTTGCTGTGAACTGATTTGCTTTCGGGAGGCATTGCTTTTGCACATATTTTTTCTTTGAAATTAAAATCTGTATTACAGTCTGCAGTGGGTATGAACATGATAGACACTACTCTGACATTATCATTTGTTGACAAATAATGACAGTTTTTAAAAATTTATTTAAAAAAATATATAACTGCACTATCTGTATGACATTTAGTTATTTCAAGTTATCACTTCACATGACATGTTTTGAAAAAAGTGTTGTAAGATATTGTTTTTATTTCAGTTTATCTCAAGATCTGTCCAGCTACCGATTTTATAATGCACTTTCAATCAAGCAATATATTATCAAGTTTTTCTTCTTTTCTTGTCATCTGCAGGAACTCTGGGGCTGATGTTCAGATGAGAATGCCCTCAGCTAAGCTTCCAGCTTCCAACAGTCGTGATGTTCGAGAAATATCAGGGAGAAAGGAAGCCACAGGGTTAATGGGAAGGATGAGGCGGACATTGAAACGAGGGGGCAGCAAGTCCCCGAAAGAAGATCCGGTAGGACAGGGGTTGCCAGGAGGATATCAGAAGAACCTGGTGAATGGTGTTGTGGTGAACCCATCTGTTGGGCAGGGTTTCAATGGAGACCTACAGCCATCAAGACTGGATAATGATCCAGAAAGGACCTCACTCAATGGAAGAACAAGCCATTGCATTTATCACAATGGATGTGATATTAGAAACGGGAATGGCCTGGAGAGACGCGATGCTGATATGGATCACTGCGTTGTTAAACATGGAAGGGGAAACGAACATTTGAGTGGAAGGGTTTCGCAAAATGGCGGCAGTAGTCCAATGCAGAACATGGATTCTACCATCAACCAGAGTTCTTACAATGGTGTTTCTGTCTTTGACAAGCAAGGGGCGCGTCCGAAGACAGGACTGTACCGCAAGAAGAGCAGTGCGGTTGGCAAAAACTTTGAGCTGGGAAGTGTCGTGTTGAATGTTCAGGCTAATCGCTGTGGAGAGGAAGGGAAAGGGAACAATGTAGATGTCAAGCTTAGTGTTGGAGGTCTGATGGGAGATGAAAGCGAGTCAGAATCCACTGTGCCTTTACAACGGAAGGCATCTGTCAGGAATGACATCTCAGTAAACATTGTCCCGAGTGGAGGACTGCAGTCCAACTCGGATGTGACGGTCAACTGCTCCGTGAATGTACATTGTCATTTTACAGAGATGGAGGAAGACTGTGAGGAAGTGGAGCAAAATGAAGGAGAAAGTGACGCTGACTCAAGGACAAAGCAGCAGAATAAAATCCTGTCAAGTGCTGAGTTAGAACCTCTGGTGATCCAGATGGGACACCAGCCTGACATGGAGCCTCTGAACAACCCTCGTACACCTCACATAGCTGAGGTCATGATGAAAGATAGCCTGGCAAGTTTAGATAGTGAATCTTCTGATCGACATCACAGAAGTTCATCAGATTCGCTACATAGGGAATCAAAGACACAACGTAAAGGCAACTCAGAACAGAATGGAAATGGGGACACAGACAGAGTTGTGAAAGAGAAGTTGAAAAAGGAAAAATTTGAGCATGTTGTACCCTTGCCAAAGGATAGTCAAATAGTAGATGTATTTACAACCCAGAAAGGTTCAGCATGTGATGAGAGCGATATAAGGTTTCAGTATAACCTTCCAAGATCAGTGTCCGAAGGAGCAGCTATATTAGCCAGCTACAGAAACGATGAGTCCTTCAAAGAAAATAGTATGTATGGACCAGCAATAGATCGAAGAACAAAACCCAAATCTGGTTTTGGAGACTATGCTCAGCCCGAAGGAAGTCCAGGTGATGATGATGAATCACCTCCACCTATCCCACCTCGTATGTCCATGGTGTTAGACCAGGATCCTAAGAAGGCAGAGTGGGAGACCGAACCAACTCACATGTGTTTACCTGCACTCATGAACGGTCTGTACAGCGACAACACAGGAACCAGTGCCTCAATGCGGAGCAAGTCGCTTCCGCGCCACTCCTCCCTCAATGACGTCTCCATTGACCCAAGCATCCCACGCCGTTCAAAGACGGCCCACCTTAAGAACAGAGTGTCCCAGCTCTTTAAGACTCCACGCCGCAAGTCCTGCGCATTCCCAGACAGACCCTTGCCAGATGTCCCTGGCAGCAAATCGGGAGTCCAGTCAAGGGAGAATCGAAGGAGTCAAGTCCAAAGACCTCAGTCACTCTATTGCCCTACAGATGGCAGGAACCAAATAGTACCTCCACCGCCTGCTAGACCTAGTCCCCAAAGACCATCTGCTGGTCCAAGACCGCCAAGACCGGGTCAGGGTAAGTATTTGATAAATGATAAGACAAGATAGTTCATGTTTGAACACTTGCATTCGATTCAATCACTTCTGTGCTACATAGTACAACAGTTAGCTATATCGTCCTTGTTTTCACGAAGTGACGGTAGTGAGAAAAATCGTAACGCAAAGTGAATGCAATTTTTTTTCACTACCGTCACTTCGTGAAAACAGCGACGATATTTATCCCTGTACTGTACATCATAGACCTGTGAAAGTACAACAAACAATTGGCTCATTGAAGACATGTTAATAATGAAATATAATGAGTAGCAACTAACTGTTACTCCAGTTGTAGGTTTTCTTTTATTAGTAGGTTAAAGACTGCAATACATGATCCTGTTTTAATGTTATGTATAATAGCAAGAAGTGGAAAAGAATACAGCACGTTAGCACAATTTTTTAAAATCATTAATGAGAAGTAAACAATTGTATTTTGTTAATTTTTTAAACATCGCTGAAGTGGCCCAGATGAAAACTTACAATTGATCCGTACATGAAGGCCATTGGTTAACCATTCAAATATTTGCTAGAGTTTTGAGGTAAACAATATATTGTTTTCACTCAAATGGATGATTCTCCTGGATATGTACATGTACGAGTCTTGAAAACTTGCTTGGCTTTCAACCAACAACACGTTTGTTCCTCTCCCATTGCCTGGAAATATGGTTTTACATGGAGTCATCAACATGAATCATAGAAAGCAAAATACCCAATTATTCTTGGAACAAAAAAAACTTGAGCCAGTAACCTTTCCTCAGTCATGTTGATGTAACGGAATGTTGCAGTGTAATGTCTATAACTTGATGCATCCTGTCGAAAATAGAATTTTCTCTCGTAGAATGCCCAAGGTTTTGGTTAAGGCCTTTACTTCATTTGAGATTAGTTCCTCGTTCTGTTTAGAAAAGTTCATCATTAACTCTTGTTCCACAGTTTACAAACAAAACTTACTCCAGACTTTTGGGTTTCCTCTTTGGAATCCTAAGGATCGAGCACAAGACGTTGTAGCATTTTTGTTTGCTTTGTTTGCTACGTTACAGAGAACATGGTGGTGATTGAGAGAAGAGAGGGGATCCCAACCAAAGATGAAGTTGCTAAATGCCAGGGAATGTTTGCATCAAGTTTACGAAGGATCAGTGAGGTAAGTCTTGTCTTATTTTAATTGTTATTTCATTTGTGCACTAATGTGATGTGTACTGGTTTTGCCATCAGCAAATGATATTGCTTCCTTTAATCAAAGACTATATTTGCTATGCTTTTACACTGCTAATTTGGGCTCCATTTGAATGAATAAACCTGTTGAGATATCACTAGTTAGACCCTATTCACACCAAGGAGACCGAAACCAGACCAACATCAGACCGAATGAAATAGTTTAATACCTAGACTGGCTGAGAATCGGTCGGTTTGGCGGTATGTGTGACTGAGGTATTACAGGGAACTGCCTACCCTGCTTGTTTGCAATTTTCATGAATTAATATGGGTTTCTGCCTTGTTTTTCTTCCTTCACTCATGATTGCAGTAGCTTTCAACTAGATAAAATAGATCAATGGCCTACTGGGTAACATGTATAACTGTATATCCCCAAAATTGATTTATTCTGCTTCTTTTATTAGGCTATGGCTATTTTTTTATTTATTTATTTATCAACCTATGGGATGTATTGCTCTTTTTCAAAGGGATCCAAGCCAAGATAAAACATACAATCAGAATAATCAATGTACTCATAATAATAGGCAATGAACACACACAAAATATAATTTACACAATATGAAAATAGACTAAATGTATCTACAACAACAACAACAATAACATAGATGTGGGAAAACATCTACAAAAAGGAAGAACGTGTCATTACAGTATATAAATTACACCTCTGTTTAGCTGACAACCAATTTAGTACATATATGAGAATACAATATCTAGATTGATTAATGCATGCAGTATCACAGCTGGATTTAACTCTAATCAATTCTATTTTCCATATTGTACATTGCATCATTTTTTTTAAACTCTGTTCATACCTGCATATTTCTATTAATCATAAACAAGTTAACCATGGGTAAGCACTTTAGTTGATGGTATAAGCTGCAATTAAGGAACATCAATAGAGGGATGCATCAATAATACATAGACCTGCTCTTTAACCTTATTATTGTGCGCAAAAAAATTCCAATTAGGCGGCGAGAACAGACGATTGTTGCGATTTGCCTCTTGGCATCAAGTCGAGGCTTTTAATGAGTATAATTACATCATGGGATAGGGATGGAGCAGTGGGGGAAACATGCTTAACCCTGCTTATTTGCTGAAGTGTTTACCCACTTAAATTTACATCATGTGGGACTATCACAATGGGGATTGCTTAGTTATTGGGAGGGTCTTGTGAGAGGAGTATAATATGGGCCCTTTTCATTATACTGCCGTGGAGCAGAGTGCTTATGCATCCTACATGTAACTCTAAAGTACCACCAAGTCTTTGTGGTTGATGATTCCTTGAACAATGGGGAAGTTTTAATCACTTTGTTTCAGGGAAATATTTCTAGTCTTCATTCATTACTGAAAAAGAAATAGGGTCATTGGCTTTAGTGTCTAATATGAAAACATGAAATGTGTTTGTTTTGAGGAAACTTCACATTCCAGTTACTGTACTTTTCTATAATCTGCGCATTTTTTTGCTTATTTCCCCATGATTAGCTGCCTATGACAGCTTTGGGTTTAACTGCATACACATGTATGTTCCAAGTATTCTAAATTTGTTCATTAGTTCATTTCATCTAGCGGCTCCTACAATGTACACTACATGCAATGTGGTATTTTGTTTACATACTGGTAGACCTTAGCCAGGCATTTTCATTGCTTTTTATACCGAACCTACAATGTACAGAGATGTACAGTGATTATAGTAATTTCAAAGTATCCATGCCCTATGCCTGCTCTTTGGGCGGCTCTCAACTATATTGTTACTTTTCCTGTGCACTTTGTACCCCTGTTGTAAAAGTGTACGGTATGTCCTGTATTACTACATGAAAGCATAAACTACATGTACTCTCCCAGGATGCTTCAGACACTATTGTTCACTCTGTACCTAATGCATTTATTCGTGAACTTGATGAAAGGAAATACTGCACCCATCAAAATTATGCAAACATGGTACTAGTCTGGTTGTCATACACACTATCGACTGTCGGACATGACAACTTGAGGCTTTTTCCTTTCATTTTTGTAATATTTCTCCCCCTTTCACACGCTCTCATCTTGTTTCATCTTATTCATTACCATACATTGTTAAGTAGTTTGGGCACATTCATTATTTAAAGTCGGGTGGGGTTGGGGTTGGGGTGGGTGTAGCAGTCGATTCATGCACTACAGTTCTTTGTTATTATTAGCTCTTTTACTAATGTAGAGTGGATTTTCCCTTTCGAATCTCCCTCAACTTGCCTAAGGGAGGGATTTGCCTGTTCAGAAACGACTTTGATTTTTCCCTTTTCTTTAGACATTTAAGCTTTCTAATCTTCATAAAACCTTTTCCTGTCGTGTTGTCTTCCATTCTAATGTTTCCCTTCAGAATTTAAAGGTACATGTAATTTCACTACAAAGTTCCTTGAGGGACCGAGTGGCGGATACTAGCATTGAATTACATGAGCTTATCAAATTTTAATAGTATCCTGTCATTATTGATTGGCAACCTTTTCTTGCCTCCCCAACATCTTTCATCCTCTGTGTTTGCTTGTGACTACATGCATTTCTTCATTAATCCTGCATTTTTATCAGCTCATGAAACACCATCAGTTTTCTTCCTAACATTTTTTAAATTTATATATGTAATAAATGAGACTAATGATAAGTGAAGAAAAAAATACATTGAGAAGTAGCAGTTTAGCTAATGCTAATATTTGTATCATACAAAGTGATGAAAGGAAGTTAGTGTATCATATTTTGTATACATTGTAGTTGCAGCCGACATGCGTGTACCAACAAGCTTCTTTTGATTTTGTTGACAAGAATAAAAAAATCTGTCTGGAGATATCTCTTTATGATGTTATAATTGTTCAAAGTCCATATCGGCTTGTGACCAGAAAATGTACATATCATATTATTTGGAATGATATGCATATGCCTGTACACTGTATCCCTATCCCGACAAAATTGTGTCTTTAAATTTTGATCAGAGAAAAGTCTAAATTCTTATCTAAATTACTTCCACATTGTAAACAAAAAATGTGATTCTGAGGTTAAGTGATAGTTCTGTATAGTACTTGCACGTGCATTTATAATCTAGGTGTGTAGCCCTTCACAGATTAACTTGTTTGTCTAGGTGTACAGTAAGTAAGGTACTAAACAGCGTGCCAAATCATAAAAATACTCAAAATGCTATTGTACAACTGGCAACTTGTACTACTTTTGCCTACTGGCCCATAGATGTTTTTAATAATAATAAATAATTTTAAAGTCCACTCCAAATTTTATTAAGTAAAACCGAAAATGGAAATTCTTTTTGCCCAATTGATCGTGAGCCCGGCAGCCACTGAGCAGCGCCAGATCGACGTTGCTCTATCCCTTATTGTTGAGCACCAAACGAGGTAGCAGCAACTCCCATCTTAGATTTCATATCCCTTGTTAAGTTCAGATATCCAGGGCCTGACCTTTACTTTTTTTTTAGGGAGCCAGCCGGGCTCCTCAAGCACTTTTTCAGGGAGCCCGCAGGGGTTTCAGGGAGCCCAAGTTTATCACGTTTTTTTTGTGGTCATAATAATGGTCATTTCCGCTCAATGACTGCGCGAACATTCCATTGATTATATTTCTCATGCAATCGTTACCAAACAACACAGGCACTATGTTGAAAGTGTCGACGTGACTCACTATTTTCATGAATGAAATCTTGCAAATAAAAGCTCAGTCGTAATAGCAGACGAAACGTGATTGAAATAGTCAAATACTTTTTTTTAATTTTATTAATCAAATGACGTATTACTATATGACAGCCAACCCATGGAAGGCTAAATTACTTTCAGTTTACAATAAAAACATTTTGTGAAATACATACACTGTAAGAAAAAAACACACAACAGTTTATAGTAGTACACAAACCTTGCGAAAACATATGAAAGAAATAATAAATTCATTTATTGATTGCCGTTAAGTTAGTCCAACGACATTCAAGTCAAACTTTTTTATTCCATATTTTATTCTTTTCAGTCCCTTTGACCGTTTATACACGCCGTTTTAACGATTAGCCACGAATCTCCCTAATTCGTACATAATGTTCACAAAACAACAATCAACCCCTTTTTACACAGTTTTACACACGCCTTTGAAGTTTGTAGTTCGTAAAATTATGTTCAAACAATAATCAAGTCCATCCAGGTACGCACGCTGAAGAATAAGCACTCACGATCACAAACACGAGTCGACGTAAACATACACTCAGCTCTGGCAACGCAGCGACCACGTGCGTTTGTCTTAGTGTGTACATTCTCTGAGTGCACCGACATACAATGCAGCATGTATTGCGCACTCGTTACGAGTGCGGAGATATAACGTTATCATGCATGGCATTCCTGCACTGATCTCGATGTGTTTTCTTTTGCAACTCATTATTCGCGCTGGAGTTGAGCCAAGTGTGCCTTGGAATGCCTAGCGCATATTTCATGATTTTGACTGCGGAATTTGGGTTTTTAGATGGATTAAAACATGGATTAAAGTGCTGGTAAGAAACAGCATTTTTCGTGGCTGATACTAGAAAAACTTAGGGAGCCAGCCGGGCTCCTCGAGCACTTTTTCAGGGAGCCCGCAGGGGTTTCAGGGAGCCAATGGCCACCGGGCTCCCGATAAAGTCGAGCCCTGATATCGTCCAAGACCAAAGAAGCACATTAAGTTTTTCTTGTACATGTACATTACTAGCGTATCATCCAAGTGGTTAACTGCTAAATCGAAAATACTTAAAATACAATTGTAACCAACCACTTGTGCAACATGCACCCTTATTTTTGTCAGAGAATGTGTGTCCCATGTGTGGCTTGCACATTGTCTTTTTTGAGAGCCAGAAGGGCATTAACGTTATGTAAATCCTAAGAGTAAGTGCCTTTCTGGTACTCAGCTGATGATATAGTTCACTACTTGTACATGTACATTACTAGCGTA